CGTTGGCGCATGCGACGACGGCGTCGCTTTAAGCGCTTTATGCGCTTCTTGTGCCACTTCGGCCTCATGCCTCCTGGACGACTGATCGTCCCCATTTGTGCTCTACGTGATGGTGCAAAGACAAAAGAGAGAAACAACAAAGGATCATTATCTATAAAGACCATAGCAAGACTTCAGTGCCTCAACAACCTGTCCTGGACAGGTTAACAAGGAATTGACAGACGCAAACAAAGCAAAAAAAAAAACATGGTAGTACTACCCAAAAATAAGACAGGTCATCACGGAATGAGGCCATATAGCGGGGGTCCTGCTGCTTACTTGGAACGTTGGCGCATGCGACGACGGCGTCGCTTTAAGCGCTTTATGCGCTTCTTGTGCCACTTGGGCCGCATGCCTCCTGGACGACTGATCGTCCCCATTCCCTACCTTTCAAAACAACAATTTGAAGAAGAGATGCATATATTACTCAACAGCCGCAGGCGCCTGACAGGAGCTGAGTGCACGCTACTCAGACAAATGGGATCGTTTCAATAAGAAAAAAAAAGAGAACAATAACGAACACATGTAAAAACACGTGGGCCACACCATTGCCTGTGTCGCCGGGTACCAGGAAGAGTGTACGACGCCCTGCTGCTTACTTGGAACGTTGGCGCATGCGACGACGGCGTCGCTTTAAGCGCTTTATGCGCTTCTTGTGCCACTTNCTGATCGTCCCCATTTGTGCTCTACGTGATGGTGCAAAGACAAAAGAGAGAAACAACAAAGGATCATTATCTATAAAGACCATAGCAAGTCTTCAGTGCCTCAACTGAAGTCTAACCTGGACAGGTTAACAAGGAGTTGCCAATTACAAAACCAAAACGAACATTGTGCCAGTCACGTATGGGAGAGGTCATCACGGAATGAGGCCATATAGCGGGGCTACCGCTGCTTACTTGGAGCGTTGGCGCATGCGACGACGGCGTCGCTTTAAGCGCTTTATGCGCTTCTTGTGCCACTTCGGCCTCATGCCTCCTGGACGACTGATCGTCCCCATT